GAGTGTAATAATAAGCCGCAGCTTATAGAAAAGCCTAGCTGCAATCTATTATTTGTGAAGATGTTCTCTGACCACCTTTCTTCCTTCAGCTTCACTGGTTTCAATTTGCGTCTGACAGCAGCTCCTCTGCTGTGTACCCTTTAGCATCACATTTTCGTACACTCTTGTAATCCTGGTCCAGATGTGCTTCTAAGCGGAGGACTGATTCGCAATGCTGGCACATGCCGCTTTGTAAGGTGGTGGATTTTTGAGAAATGCATGACAATAAGAATTTACGTAAATCAACTAGTAAAATAGTCAAGACGACGTTTGTTTCTTTCCCTCACCCTAGTATGGTCCGTTTCTAACCTCCTTTAAGATTATCTATGCCTTTTTCCCGCTGCGATTGTTTTTCAGTGGGTTTCTCACTCGTGGGGAAGTAATAATTTCGTCGATTTGGAAACGCTGTTGTTGGAACCGTTCGATGGTCAGCGCCGTTATATGTCGTCTTATTCAAATAAAATCGAGCTATCAAAGGGACACATCCTATGATTAAAGGCAAAAGTCGGGCTCAATAAGGGGGTATTATGGCGATTGAAACTGAGTATAGAGATGCGAAGTGGAACGACAGTGGAGAAAAAACTGAGAAAAACCGTCGACAAGGCCGTTAACAAAACCCTCTTTCCCACTAGCAGTGAAGGAGGCTGGCTTGGGAAAGAGGCACGTACAAACAAGTTTTCTGGAGATGTCAGTCGTTCTATACGGCAATCAACCTAGCTGATTTCACACGTTATGCCAGCCACGCACCACTTCCGGAGGTGGGCGGTCCTGGATTGACAGGCGGCCCTGGATTGAAACCGAACGGCCCCGGGGGCTTAACGACGTTTTTCAAGGTGGGAAGTTGCTGCAATGTGTGCAGCTACCCACATACAACCTCCAGGCACGGGAATTACTTCTCTAGCGTGCCTGAGCCCGACCTTTGCCTTTAATAATTGAACAGCCAATCTGAAATTAGTTTGAATGCGCCGTTTAATTGTCTGTAAATACCTTATCCAATTTGCAGAATCACAGAAAAATCTCTATATATACAGAAGAGATGTTTCGTAAGACCACGAAACAAGTGAGGCAATGCTTTTGACTTGCCCCTGAAACACCGTGCGTTTGATGATCGTTTAACTGATTTTGTTCTTTGGGCGATACTTGTCGTTTTTTGAACTCATTTTGGAAGCGTCGCTCTTCGCATTCATTTCTCCAGGGTTCCATGGTACCAAATGTTTACTCTTCAACGTTAAATCTCCGAGATAGTGAAAGATTAGAATAGCCGGTGTCGATTACTCCCTTTTTGAGATGTGCCAAGTTTTTTTTTTTTCTTGCCATTTGAACTGTTAACGGTAAACGTCGCCTTTGGTGAATGATATTTGACCCATGCCGTAAAGGATGCCCGTGCTTCTGCGCCCTTTCAGGCGTGTGGTACGCAAATATCATGAAAGTTCGTTACTGGACAGCGATACGCGCCAATTTTTCGCCTACCGCGAGGCGTGATAAGCATCATTATGCTCACTACATGTCCCCCCCCAATTTCGCTTACGTCCTATAATGTTTGGTTAAGCAGTTATTTGCGAACAGGTGATCGGCTATTTTTTCCAGTGTGCCTGAGTTTTTACCTAAAAGATTTGGGAGTTGTTTACCCCTGATGTAGATTCGTCTCTTTGGTTGGTTAAGTCTTCCCTCCTCCATTCTCAACCCTCTGGATCTACTGGATTGTCGTGAGAGCTGCCGGCTCTCCGTGATCGGCAATCGCCCTTTGTCGGACCTATGTTAGTAGGCAGTCATGACTATTGGATTTTCTGACTCTATTAGTTTCTAGTAAGGGCGGAAGTGGTGTAGTGACAAGTGGCGCGCTCACCACGCGAGCGGTCCGGGATCAAATCCTGGGTCGTGAGTCGCCCGGGCCAACCAAGCCTTCCATCCCCCGGGGTCGGTTAATTGGTACCAGACTTGTCTGGGAGGATAAAAACACTGACTTGAACATCGGCTGGCCCCCGCAAGTCATTGTATAGGCCACATCGCATTCAAATGCCACTGCGAATGTACAAATGGAAGTAGAATGCGTGCCGCATCCCAAAAAGGGATTGATCAACGGCAAATGCTTTATCCTTTTATCCTTTATTACTGAAATATAGCAACCGCGAATGCTTCTCGCAACCACAGCACCGATTCGAGACCACGCCATGCTCAGCTTGCCACGCGCTCATATACAGTAGGGTCGTATCTTAGGGGACGCCATTAATGAACTTCAGAGTTGATAGGAGCTGTATTGCCTGGGTGTACTTATGATGAAGGAGCTTGTTCTTAATGGAGACACTACTCTACAACTGACGTTTTAGTAATTGGATATCTCTAAACGTTACACCAAAGCATCCATGACTGATTTAAAAATCAAGCATAACTTTTTTGATGAAGTTTTGAACGTTTAAAGGACGAATTTACGATGGAAAAGCAACCCATTCCAAATTGAGGTAGAGATGGTGAGTAGTACCAGAAAGAAAGCGAAACCACGAAAAACGGCCCAGAACCGGAGAAATGGGACCCCTTCCTTGTCCGTTGATTTGAGCATTGATGGGACTCTCATCGCTTTGCCCTCTTCAACCCTACGCTCTCTCAGCTATCTAATCACTCGCCACCTATTGTACTACGGCGAGTGATCAGACGATCGGTGGGCGGAGATCGCCGAACTCGCCAACTTTGAGCCATGCTAGATCTCAGAGGTCAAATCTTTCGATGCCGATTGCGTGTCTGTCCGCACCCTCAAGAGATTCACCGCTCTCCCCACTAGGCGATTTCTCCCTTCTTCGACCTTCGTTCTTTCCGTGCAATCCTCCTTTAAGTGTTCTGAATTCGTTTCTCAAAACGAAAAGATCTTTCTCCTATAATCTTACTTTTTTGAAATGCACTTATCACATGACACTGAGCTCTTCTAGCAAGGCTGCAGTTTTTCCTTTGAGAGCTTGAACGATACCCCTATCATTTCGAGTCTGCACATTTCTTCGTTGTTTTCCATTTTTGCACAACTATATTTTTTCTTTCAGTGGAATTTGACGTCCCCTATTATCGGTTCGCTTGCACTCACTTTTCTGCAATCTTTACTTCGTATACCGATTTTTTCCTTTAGATTTTTCTTGCTCCTCATTCTTTTGCTTGTGATTCTTCTGATACCTTCTGTGTAAAGAAGACTCGTAATTTCTGGTTTGTAGTTGGAACGGGGTGATGTGAATTTTTACGTTGGCTAAATCAACCCCCGATCTCTACGCCCTGATTGATTGTGATGGCAGGTTCAACGGTAAGCATCTCGACTCGTCAAGCGATAAGTGAGGCGCAGCCTGGGGCTCTGAAGCATGGAATTTGTCTCGATTTTCAAAATTTCCCTCATACGTTGACACATGCCACAGGAGCGTTTGAATAGTGACGGGATTGCAATGACATGATGGTCTTCGAAAACAAGGGTTAAAGGGCTAATCTATCCTGTCTCTTTCTTCCTTCAACCAAAGCTCTCACTCTTTCAGGCACTCGTTAGTATGCAATTGTCTCCGTAGGCAAAAGCGAGCATGCCAGAAAAAAAGAGTTCCATAAGTCATCGGAAATTTGTTCACGCAATCAAACATTATTCGTACATTGTCCGAAACGGTAATTCTCAATTTAGTTTATGACTATGACTATCGGTGTCGCTTTTGAACGTACGCTCTAAAAGCTCGAATTTTTCGATTTCTCCGAGTGAACGATTTTTAGTGCATTATTTTTTCTCGCTTGAGCAACGCCCTCCAAAGATTGATATACTATGTTTTCTAGTGTTTTTATATCCTCAAGTCTTGAAGAATCAGGATTCAAAAGAAAAATTTTCGAGGCCACCATTGATTTTTTTCTGGCAAAAAAAGGAAGCACGAAAAACCGTTTCGGCGAACACTTTGACCGCTACCGTATTCTCTAGTTTGTTCGAACAGCGACCGTGCTTATACTGTGCATTTCTGAGAACTCAAAAATGGATCTGTATTTCCCGCTTATTAAACTAGTAATAGAACTAGTAAGTTGTCCTCTATTTCGTCTTAACCAGTTGCTATTTTCCGCCGCAGTTCGTAATGAGAAACCCATTGCTACTAGGATTTTGGGTTATATTATTCAGGGCAAAGTCCAGCTGGAGCAACTTCGCCCCAGCGGGAGTCAAACCTAAAGCCCTGCTTACCGGGCGTAAATGTCACCATTACACCACTTAGGCCATGTTTTGGCATAGCTAAGCATCCCTTGTTATAATATTAGATGGTCCTCGTTTTGACACTGGTCGTCAGACGCCGTGATCTATCTTCGCCATGGTCTATTTTTATCTTTAGTACAAAATTCAGTCAACCGGCGAAACCAAAAGCTAGGCAAAACATCAGCTGGCAAGGATTATTAATATTCATTATTGGAGGCAACACAACTTAGGGAAGCCCCAAAAGGGCATCATCACATCATCCTGGCCAAGAAACATTTTGGTTCAGGTCTTCTGGGAACAGGAAGAGTTCTCGCTTTTCCCCTGAAAACGTGCACGCCAAATAGTGATTCTTAGCGCAAGCCAATCTTCAGGAGAACGTTTCACTTACTTCAAGATGGATGCCGACCACCTAGATGTGGAACAAATTTGGTTTTTCCCTAAAAATTTTAGGTAAGAGATTAGACGAACCCCCCCCCCCGACTTGCTCGTTCTATCAATGTTACCTTCCATTTTGAGCGAGAATGTGAAATTTTGTTTTCCTTTGCGTTTTTGCCAGTGAATTGATACCTTTTCCACAATTGTGTGAGTGGGACCTCAGCTAAAGTCAGTGTTCTGTCATCTTATGTCATGCGTCCTCCTCCTCATCGAGTGCTTACTGTCGTTGATATCGTCGCCGAGATTTATCCTTCCTCTCTCTGTAGGTGCGTGCCTTGCGATATAAGCTGCTATTTTCATCACAGCTTTCAATTCAGAATTATTTTCAGATAGCTGGGTGATGCGAATAGATGGTATGCGAGCGGCCGGGATAGGACGCTTCAGTCAGTCGGTACGTTAAGCTCATGATTATTACCTATAAGTTAGGCGTTTCTGTTCGAAGAAATGCGGCTCATTGCTCTCATGAAATTTCGCTGAAAAGCACATGAAATAAGCAAACAGACTTTTCCTTGAAAAAACATTTTTTTAACTACTGGAGATGTCTATATGTTCCTGTTAATGTTGGGAATTGGTCATAGAATCAAAGTCGATGTACAACTTATTCCCCGAGTCTATTATAGTTTTCAGCGCCCGTTCAAATTAAGAGGAGCTTCCGTTTTCATAAGTTTGTAAGATCAGGGTCAACCCTACGTTGCTACAAGTACCAACGGGGGGGTCGTAGTTTGTTGAGTTTGTGGTGGGGGGGGGTCGTACTTGTTTCGGTAGCACGAAATTACATGTGATGAGGTGAGAGCGCGCGGGAGAAAATTTGCCGTTTCAGCGTGCGTATATACCCCCTTCCCCCTCCCAGGTAAAATAGTGTGAAAATGAGGGAAAAGTAAAGGGAAATAGAGGAAATTTTAGCGGTTTCATGGTAGTTATATACCCCCGCTCGACGGTGTTTTTTGAGGGAAAAGAAGTTGTGAAGAAGGGTCGTATGAAATCTGTCGTGAAGGAGGGGGGTCGTAAAAATTTTGCAAAAAGTCCAACGATAGGACCAACCTGGCCGGAATGGAACTCAGACTCTGAGACCAGTAACAGAAGAGTCAATGAACATGAGTATTGATGAGCCCCGTTTCAGAGTTGTTACGTTACGTTCGATTGTCGACCCCGAGCCGTCGTGTTGCATTTACTGCTCTTCTTATTATTACTACCGGCCGCTAATTCGCTAACTTACTTTGTTGGAAGTGAGTTTGTTTT